CCCCCCCCCCCTTGCTCAGACCCCCAGCAGTGAGCAAACTGCATCAGGGCTGGCAGCGTGGGCACAGCCATGTTTGGGGGGCAGGCTCCCCTCCATCAACCTACAGGGCCGCCCAGCCCCATCTCAGTGGTCCCGTCCTGTATCTCACCTGATGGAGATCATCTCGGGGCAACTGCCCAGCGCTGGTTTCTGTGGCCCCTGTTCGTTTTGTTGGTCTCTGTCAGGGACAAGCCCTAAACCATCCTCATCTGTTGTGGTTCAGTGAGCTGTGACCCATGGCAGCATCTCGGCCCCAGTCCTCAAGAGGCGGTGGGGACAGTGAGCTTGGGAGTGAGGTTTTGGATTTTAAGGGTAGGACCCACATTCGGAACAGGTGGGGAAGCCAAGCTGCAACGTGGAGGATGCGCAGGGTCAGGGGGACAGGGCAGAGGGGCTGTTTCGGTTGATATTAGGGTGCCTGACAGGTCACAAGGAGACCAGGATCCTGGGGCATGCAGGAACCCCCAAAAGCCTGTATGGTGCTGGAGGAGTGAAGTACCCATCACCAGGACCGCTGATGCCTCCACCCCTCCGGGGAGGCCATAGGGCCAGCTTTAATCCACGCATCCAAAAAGAGATTTATTGCCTATCAGCCCGGCTGGCGTCCGAGGAGTGGAGGAGGTGATGCTGTGATGCCTGGAGTGCAACTGGGCCACCATTGTGGGAAGGGCTGAACCGACCTGTCTCGGTGGGGATCCCCAGAGGTAGGCGCAGAGCTGCAGATGGGTGAGCAGCAACCATGCCTCGCCAAAGAGGGGAAATCTGTGGGCTGAGATGGGAACAGCCATGCCAGATGTGAGCAGGAGTCCTGCTCCAAGCTATCCTCCATCCACACCACTTCCGCAGACTTGGAAGTTTTACGAGGAGTTTTTACAAGCAACTGGAAGAAGCAACTTGAGTCTTTCCACCGTGGCCGGAGGGGTGGGCTCGGTGTGCCATGGGAGCCCCTGGGGACTCACAGCTCTGCGGCCAGCCTGGCACTCCTGCCTTGCCGGGCAGCCGGTAATGCGTAGTGTAGCACCCACCTTGGGTTTCTCACTTTTCCAAGCTGACTTAATGAAGCCAAGTTTGCAAATGAAACATAATTTCAAAGACAGGCGTGTTGTCGGAAGGTCTGGGGATGATGTATGCCTGTTCCTGCTCGTTAGCAGCTGTCTCTTTAATTACCGCAGATGCTAACGAGATGCTAACAGCATATGGTGACAGGGAGAGCAGCCGCACTTTGCACCAAAGTACAATTTATTTGTGAGGCGGCTGGGAGGGAGGAGTGAGGGCTGGTGGGGTAAAATCTGCTGGGACTTCTCTCTGTCCTCTCTGCTCCCATCGTACCCTTTTTACTCCCTTAGGGCTGATGCCTGTGTCTGGAAGGGCTCAATGGGATGCAGCTCAGGGGAGAGGTTTGGGCCCTGGGTGATAAAGGGGTGTCCACTTCCAGCCACCCTACACCAACTCGGCTGGGAGGGAGGAGTGAGGGCTGGTGGGGTAAAATCTGCTGGGACTTCTCTCTGTCCTCTCTGCTCCCATCGTACCCTTTTTACTCCCTTAGGGCTGATGCCTGTGTCTGGAAGGGCTCAATGGGATGCAGCTCAGGGGAGAGGTTTGGGCCCTGGGTGATAAAGGGGTGTCCACTTCCAGCCACCCTACGCCAACTCATGGCTCCAAGCTGGTTGGTTGGTGCCTCCAACCTTGGCGGGTCCTTTGCTGTTCCTGGGTTGCTGCAGTTCCAGCATCCAGCATCTTTGGGGGGAGTGTCTGGTCCAGTTCTCCTCTCCCTTCCTCCCACCTATGACATAGACACTGATGTGGCTCTGGCTGGTGGCTAAACCTAGCTCTGACTACAGGGGTTTGGCAGTGGGGACATGTAGGTGGCAAATGGTTTAACTGCAGGAAACCTCATTGCCTGGTCCCCCCCATCAGCTGGAGACTCAGGATAGGGTTGCCAGTGAGTTGCTCTCTTGCTTTTCCTTCCCAGTGGATCGGGCTGGCTGTGCCCAGCCGTCATATGGAGAAACCTCCTTTGACCTTCTCTCATGTGAGACTGGGCTCCTGGCAGATGCCAGAACTGCATTGTGATACCTGGGCAAGAGCCCCCAGGCTGTCCCACTGCAGTGTGCCCTTTCCAGTCTTCAGGTGCTTCTCTTGGCTGGGCCAGCTCAAAAGATAGGCTATATCCCATACACAAAGTCCCCAGACCCAACCTGCTCTTCACTAGCCCCGAATTTAACCTTTTTAGCTCATTTTTGGCCTGTAGAATGAGCAGAATTCACCGGGGATTATCTGGAAACTCTGGGAAGCTGAGCCCTAGGGGTTGATAGACAAGGGAACAACCTCCAGCGAGCTTGGAAGGAGAGAATGAGCTCCTCCACAGGATGAATTTTGCCATGTGCCCCCTTCCTTGCAGTCTTGAGCAAGGGCTGGAGGCTCTTTATAAAGCCATGTATGGGGCTCGATGCTGTAGGGCCACAGCAGGCTCCTGACACGGTGGTGGTTCTTGAAAGGCAAATCTGGTGCCTGGCACCTTCTCACCCCTCTCTCTCCCTCTCTTCCATCCCCTGTCCCTCAGGAGTGTGCTGGGGAACCACTCTTCATGCTCTACTGTGCCATCAAGCAGCAGATGGAGAAGGGACCCATTGATGCCATTACAGGAGAGGCTCGCTACTCCCTCAGTGAAGACAAGCTTATCCGGCAGCAGATTGACTACAAAATGTTGGTTAGTGAAAGCAGAAGCCTCACTGCTACTAGTGCTTGCCAGGACTGCTAGGTCCAGCTATTTAACAAGATCTTGGAGGCACCCAAAGTACTTTGCAGAGAGTGTATTGTCTCTTGTTCTTCTTTCCAGCATCCCTGGGGTGCCTCTTGCCCTCTCTGTTGTCCATCTCAGCTAGGGTCATAAATGGGGCCTTTGCATGGCAAGGTTTGCTCTTGCCATGGAGCTGAGAAAGCCAAACGTGAACTGAATCCCCCTCCACACCTCTCCCAGCAAACCCCATGGCCCTGACAGATACGGGGCCACAGACGCTGTTGAGCACATGCTGCCAGGAGCAGCCAGTGGCTCATGTTGGGTGGGGATCAAAGTTAGAGCCTTGAGATTACTGCAGGAGATGGAGAGATACTTCTCTTCCTCCATATAAGCCAACTCCTCTGTCCAGCTGACTAAGCCAGACCCTACCCCTGGCTTAGTCTGCAGCTGGTTCTTCACCACCTCGATCTCCACCGGGGTGGGGTTGGGAGGGGAGTGGAGTGTGCCTGAGCATCTTTCAGGCTAGACGGGTTTTGGTGAGTTGGGCACCGTTTGCTGGCCCAGGATTCCTTCACTGACACTGTGCTGCCTTTCTGGGAATAGTTGGAGATTTGAGGGTGATGGGGAGAGGTGGGGAGAAAGGGGGAGCAGGAATGTGCCATGTGGCTGCAACTCCGCAGCAGCCCGGGAGGTGAGAAGACATGGCCTTGTAGACAGCTGTAGCCCCATGTCCTTGGACCTGCCTTTGCAGCCAGTGTGTCACAACCACTCACTCGAGTCTTTCTGCCCCCCTGTGCTGTGCAGACCCTCAACTGTGTGAACCCTGAGAACGAGAACGCCCCGGAGATCCCTGTCAAGGTGCTGAACTGCGACACCATCACGCAGGTGAAAGAGAAGCTGCTGGACGCTGTCTACAAGGGGGTGCCCTATTCCCAGCGACCCAAAGCCGGAGACATGGACCTGGGTAAGAGAGAGGCCAAGCACTTCCCTGTGGGGAGCAGGGATGTGACTAAGAGCAGAAGTGCCAAAAAACCTGTTCAAGGCAGAAAATCCGCATCTCCTACAGGAGAGGAGACCTGGCAGGACCAGAGCATTTGTGCTTGTCCGGTCTACTTTTGCTGTGCTGGTGGCACTGACTCTGTGTGGGGACCCCTGGCATGAGAGTGTGGGTCCTGCCAGTAGAGAGGATGGGGAGAGGAGCCTCCTCGGCTCTGGCTGTGGTTTGGATTGCAGGCTTGAGGTGGCTGAGGTCCAAGGAGGCCAGCACTAGTTGAGAACAAGTGTTAACAGTCCTGTTCTTAAAGGAGGGGCAGGAGAATGAAGAGGAGAGGAGCAAAGGAAACAGTCGCCAGGGTCGGATTGATGCTGTCTTTCCTTGAGTACTTAGAAACAGTCTTTGCCCAACGCCACATTGATAGTCATCAGTCCTGGGGTTCAGAAGGTGGTGGGAGGGCTCTTTTGTTGATGTCCAGACCGTGCTCCTACCTCGTCTTGGCTTTGTGCTCCTATCGCCCCCTAACCATGAGCCCTTCTCCCTCATGGGGACAGAGTGGCGGCAGGGCAGGATGGCCCGGATCATACTGCAGGATGAAGATGTCACCACAAAGATCGACAATGACTGGAAGAGGCTAAACACCCTGGCCCACTACCAGGTAAGGCTGTCTGTGGTGGAGAGCACTGAGCAGTCACCAGCTGCTTTGAGCTTGAGCATCTCTTCTTCCTCCTCATTTTGGTCAGGGCCTGGGCTCAGCTCTCCAGACCGTGCTGCTCATGCAGAGGCATGGCCAGGAGGCATGCAGTCACTTTCCTGCGTGGGCCCCATGTTTATGGTCCTTCCGTTCAAGGAAGCACTAAATGGGGCATCTTCAGGACTCATAGAGGCTGTTTCCTGCTCTGACCTTACTTTGCCATTTTCATGTCAAGGTTTCTGGTGTGTTCCTGTTCTGACCTCTGCTCCCGATCTGTCACAGGGGTAGATATGTAGGTCTCCTTTGCAGGAGATGGATGTCCCTGGGGTGGGGTGCAGTGTAGCTTCATCCCTCCTGGGCTGGTTTCTCCCTGCTGTGGGGCTGTTCCTCCTGTGCTTCTCTGGTGTCACAGCCTGCTCACGCCATCTCTGCCCCCAGGTGACAGACGGCTCCTCGGTAGCCCTGGTGCCGAAGCAGAACTCGGCGTACAACATCTCCAACTCCTCCACCTTCACCAAGTCCCTCAGCAGATACGGTGAGCACGGAGGGGCATCCTCCACTGTGCTGGCAGGGGAGGCAGCACCAGGCTGGGCTTGCAGACCAAGGCACAGGGCAGGTGATTGTAACTGTGGCTCACGTGAACAAGGTCCTCCAAACCCCTGGCTCTCCTGCACCATGCTATTTGTTCTGGTGTCAGAGAGGGAGCAGATGCCCTCAGAGCCATCTCTCTTTGCAACATGTCAGACTCGGGGGAGAAAGACACATGTCAGATGGCTGCTGCTAAGGGATCCCCTTCCTTTTATTCCCCTGAAATCTAATTAAAATAGGCACAGAGGCACTTTGCACTTAAATGAGCAGAGTTGAAGACTCCAGTGAACATGCTGGCAAGTGTGCTTCAGCCTTGGTTTGGAAGGAAATAGTGTGGTCAGCTCAGACCGACACAGGAGGCATCTGTGATCCTGGCACCTGCGTGCTGGGAGCAGGGCAGGCCCCTGCAGAATCCCTTCCACGATGGTCCTGGCCCCTGTACCTCAGCCAGGCTTGCATGTAGCCCGGCAGGCTGTGAGCACGGTCCCAGCAGAGCTCCCAGTCCACGGTGGCTGCAGAGGCTGGATCCCAAAGCTCCCGTTTCATGGCCATGACGTGCGGAGGGAAGGGAGGTTGATGGGGCTGGCGGCGAGGTGCAGGTGGGCAGGGTACGAGCATCCCCCTGTGCTCGGTGCTTGCAGAGAGCATGCTGCGGACAGCCAGCAGCCCCGACAGCCTGCGCTCACGGACCCCCATGATCACCCCTGACTTGGAGAGCGGCACCAAGCTCTGGCACCTGGTAAAAAACCACGACCACATGGACCAGCGGGAGGGCGACCGGGGCAGCAAGATGGTCTCTGAAATCTACCTGACCCGTCTGTTAGCCACCAAGGTATGGCATGGAGACACAGAGCTGCCGCCTGGCTTTTCAGATCTGGATGGGGAGGGTTTTGGTGTAGTGATTTGGGTTGTCCAAAAATGGTAAGCACTGCTTTTTTAATAACCACCTGCTTCAGCACAGGAGGAGCTACTCTCTTCGTCTTTGGGCTTTCCTGAGCTGGAGGTGATGTTTTTGTGTGTCAAAACCCTCAGTGAATATCCCTTGAGTGGATTTTCCTATTTGCTTTTTGCACCCTTCGTCGTTTTTACTGTTCCCTGTATTCTTGAGGAGCTGCTGGACTGCAAAGCAGAGATGCCCTGGGGCAGGGGCCTCATCCCCTTTGGTGTTCGGGATAAAGCTGCAAAATCAGTGATGTGGGAAGGGTAATTACCCGGGGCATTTGGCATCGCAGCGGGTTCCCGGTCCCTCAGTGCATACAAAACCTTCTGTAGTGCCGAGCGGGTGCTGTGTGTCTGAGATATCCCTAGAGAGGAGTGGAGGGCTGTGCTGAAGGTACTGGCTCAGGATTGCAGAGACTGGGCTCAGCCATTTCCCCTGTGACTTGGCTCCCTGCCTCGTGGGACGAGGGCTTGTTCAGCAATGTTTGTCATCAGGTCTCGGGTACCTTAATGGGACCCAAGTAAAGGCCATGATATGATGTACATCTGCTTGGTTTTTGCTCTGTATGGTGTTTTTATTTGTATGCTTTTAGCGTGCCAGATCGTGCAGTGAAGGAGGTACCTCATTACTGCAGAGTCTGTTTCCCAGTATAAACCACTGAGAACCGGTAGAGTTACACAGACTGTACTGTGCTTCTCTTCCAGGTGGTAGGAATACAAGTAATAGGAAATTGGTTTAAAGGCCTACCTTTAGTTAAAGGCTCATCTCTCTGGTGGCACTGGGCGTTGCCGAGTCACCCTTCTCTCTTTCTCCTCCTCAGGGCACCCTGCAGAAATTCGTGGATGACCTGTTTGAGACCATCTTCAGCACAGCACATCGTGGGAGCGCGCTGCCCCTTGCCATCAAATACATGTTTGATTTCCTGGATGAACAAGCTGATAAGCATCAGATCAATGATTACGATGTCAGGCACACCTGGAAGAGTAACTGGTAATGGAAAGGGGCAGTGGGACGGGGTTAACGATATCACAGCTAAGGATACTTCCAACCCCTCCCACAGGGAGCAGAAATATGTCCCTGGAAATGATCCAGGACAAGAGAGGCCCATATCTCTGTATTTCGGGTGTGGGTAAATCCCTTGCATGCCTTCCTGCAGCAGAAAAAAATCCCAGGAATGCAATGGTCCCTCAGCCCTTCCATCCCCAAATCCCGGGCACCACGCTCCCCCTGACGGCTAGAGTCGGACAAGGACCTCAGCGGTTTTGTTCCCATCTTACCTTGAGCAAACGCCGCTTGGGCTTCCCCGTCCTCTGGGCACCTCCGGAGATGCCAGCCCCAATTCTCATCTCGACTGTCCTAAAGGTGTTTCCGCGCTCCCTCCCGTCACTCAGCCGAGCGTGCCTAACAAAGTCAGCATAAAGCCATGTATGCATCCTCCCTAACCTCGCCTGCAGAGCCAGACCATCGGCTCTGCTAATCGCTCTCTGAAAAGCAGGGCGGAGTGGCTGATGAGACCTCCGTAAGTGCCGTGCTGGGGCCAGGGCTCAAGCAGGCGTTGGCTCTTGCTCTGCAGCCCCCCCTCGGTGTTTTACTTTTCTGCTACCTCACTGATTTCATCTCTCTGATCTTGCTGTTACTGGAGACGGGTACGTACATTCCCGTGTCTGGCATTTGTTAAATGGCAGCCAAATTGCTTTTGTATAGTTCAGTAACTGTTGGCAATTAGCAGGGCAGGAAAAGAAACATTTTTAAATGGAGATGTGAGAGCGCGGAAGTGCTTGGAACTGATTTATAACTCAGCTTTCTATATTAAAAGAAGGAGTGAAAGGCAAGGGAGGAAAAAAAAGCCCCGCTCTGCAGGGGCTGGGCATGCAGGCTCCTGCATGCTAATGCCTGTGCTTATCTCTGGGCGCTAATTCGATGTGTGGAGCTAATTTCTCGAGGCCATTCCCTTCACAAATGAAATATGTACATGCACCCGGTACCCTCATTAGGGAAGTCCTGGGGAATGAAGTGTGTTTTGTCTAAGATAAAAGCATTCGCTGGGTGTTGCTGCTGAGGGATGACAGAGCGGAGAGGCTTTCTGATGGGGGGAGACCCTGAGATGCTTCTGGAAGAGGAGAGGGGCAGCAGGATTGGGAAATGGAGCCATGGAGAGTGGCACCTGTGTCAGTATGCAGCAAACATCCAGTCGGTGGCTGGCCAGGAGACCCACTGCCTCTACAGCTGAGAGCTTTATTTCCAGCATCTGAGGCTGCCTAAATTCTCCTCTGGTGTTAAATGTGCTAATGAGTCCCTTGAGGAGTCCAGTTAACCCACTCCTCCTACACGAGATGCCACACGGCGCTGTAGACAGGCTTATTGATGCGAGAGAAGGGGACTGTGCCTGATGTGACCCATGGGCTCAGCAAGGGCTCTTCAGTATGAGTGGATCCTCGGAGAAATCGCAGATCTGCGCTGCCCTGGTTTGCCTTTGGAGATGTTGGCAGTGCTGAGGAATTTCTCCACGGAGAGCTGTGGCCATGTGGGGGTGGGCAGAGGACGTGGTATTGCAATGGGGCAGAGGGGAACAGCCATTTACCCCAGGTTGTTTGCATTCCTGGGGCGCTGGGAAAAGCATTCTGCCCAATTTTGGGTCATGGGGAACTCCTCCTCTGCAACTGGAGACGCATGTGCGCTGGCTGCCATGTAGAGCTCAGTTCAGGTGCTGACTCCTGTTTCCTTCTTCCCTCAGTCTACCTCTACGTTTTTGGGTGAATGTGATTAAGAACCCCCAGTTTGTGTTCGACATTCACAAGAACAGTATTACTGATGCCTGCCTATCCGTGGTGGCTCAGACATTCATGGACTCCTGCTCAACTTCTGAGCACAAGCTAGGAAAAGACTCTCCCTCCAACAAACTACTGTATGCCAAGGACATCCCCAACTACAAGAGCTGGGTAGAAAGGTGAGTAGGCTTGGCAATAGCTCCTTGAGTCACCTGGAGGAGTTACAGTAGACGTATGTGGGTGTGGGGACTTGGGTCGTTGGGAGGACTCCTCTTGGCAGCTGTCTGAAGAGGGATCGTATTAACGCTTGTGGAAGGTGATCCTTTCATTTGGGAGATGATGCTTTCTCGTGATTGTCTCCTGGAATGAGTTTGCAATGACTATTTGACAGAGCCGTTTATGACTTGCTTAAAGGGTGCTAAAAGCAACCTCAGCTTTTAGGCTGTCTGATGTTTTCTGTTGTAAAAACTTGGTCTGTGCTAAGGAATTGCTAACACCTAGAATCATAGCATCATTAAGGTTGGAAAAGACCTCTAAGATCATCGAGTCCAACCGCCAACCCAACACCACCATGCCCACTAAACCATGTCCCTAAGTGAATCCCTCCCTTGATTGCTTTTGAAGAGCAGTGAGAAGTCAGCCTTGGACTAGAGGAAGTGCCTTTTTTCTACCGTGACAATACACGCAGGTTTTGCTGAAATGGTTGAAAATTACCGTTTCCAATCTCTCATCCACCTGTACATCTCACCTGGGATCCTGATGAGAGCACATGCTCTGAAGCAGTGCTTGGGCTGCTGTCGCTGTGCTGAGGAGCAGGGAGAGGAGCGGGTCCCCTGACTCCTTCTGACACCCTTCACCTTCACTGTTAGCTGATGAGAGACATCCTTCTGTCCCGCTGAATTAATGCAGTGTTAAAGGTTCAGGGTTTGAATGCTACTGATTGCAAATTGATGCGCTCAGGCATAATGCTGTGTTTAGCTTTATCCTTTTGGGAGTGAAACCTAGGAGATATCCTCCAAATCCCTCCAAATAGAGCTACTCTTAAAATGTTACTGTGTGGCAAAGTGGGACTTCATCAAGCTTAAAAAATGGCAGATTTCAGGTTGCTGATGCAACTTTCCCCTTGTGTTGATATGCTGTGCTATAGCTCATGCTCTTTTTTTTTTTTTTTTTTTTTTTCCCCTGAGGAGCCTTCCCTTTTTCACCATCTAGACTGGATACAGAATGAACCAAATGAAAGATGTCCAGGCAACAATAAGCATCATATTCTCTAGTTTGCAAGCGTGGGACTTTGTAGCCCAAATCATCCTTTGGATGCTCACTTGTACAGTTATTTTTGTTGCACCATTGGCATGCCTGGTGCTTTGCAGACGGGTACAAGGACAAGCTTCTTCCCTCGAGGAAGATAGGGCTTGGATCAGAAGAAAAGATGCCCCTGAAATGCTATGGCTGAGATGAGAGATGAGCTGCATTGTAATAGGATAAAGTTCTTTGTGGGGGGCTGGAGGGGGCTTTGGAGTGGGGTCCTGTAGGAACATCGCAAACTTCATGAAGTGAATTTCTCTGACCTTGCCACCTCTGTGACAAAAATATTCAGCTCTGTGTGTGCCCAGAGAAAAAAAGGTATAAAACCATTCCAGAGCTAAACATTGGTCTAGACATGCTGTGTCCCTGGGGAGGAGGTGGGAGATCTCACCGGTGACAGATGTTCCTGCCATCGCTTACCACTGGTACGGTCCCAGAGGCAGCCGAGCAGGGGGCAGAGCTGCCCCGTGCAGGGTGCGACTGCATCTCCTACTGCTCCTCTGCTGCAGGGATTTGTGGTGTAATCTGCATTTCTGGCTTTTGGCACGGTTATCGTCGCAAAGCTTTGCAGAGGCAGGATGGGAGCGATGCGTGGGCAGCTGAGTGGGACTGCTAGTCCCAACAGCAGGTCTGTCTGCCACCTTGGTTCAGGCACCAGCAGAAAAAAGGGCATCTTGCCAGTCCGAGGCAGGAATAGCACAGTAAAGGGCTTGGGAGGTGTGGAGCCTGGGAAAACCCAAAGGGACTGCTGCTGGGGTCGTGTCTGGGTAGGTGTCCTCTGGAAATGGTAGGTGTGACTGGGATCTTGGTCCGCACGAGCCATGCATGCTTGTATTGAAAAATGATGGTTTCCTGCCATCCTTTGTGTCATGATAAAACCCAGAACGTAAAACTGCTGCATGTTACCTGGATATCTTCTTGTGGCAGCCACAAAAGCTTTCTTCTTCAGCAGGTCTAACTTCGTACATTCATCTCCCATGAGTCCCTTCCCACAGGGGCTTTCACCTACGGGTGAAGGGTGGCCAGGAGGATCTCTATGGGTTTTCTTTGCTAATCAAAGCTGTCTGGAACTGAGAAGGTTGGGCATATTGTCCCTAATATTCCTCAGCACAGGTAGAAGTAATGTCAGCTTTAGGAGACGTCACTCTGGGGGTGATCTGTCTAGTGTTGTAGCAGATCTCTTGATGCCTGGTTTAGTCAGAGGTCCTCACCTCAGACCACTGCTCTCTTGGCAGCATCCAGGAAATCTCTCGCATCACTTTCTGGGTGTGAATGAGCCTCCTTGTAAAAACTGCCCAAGTATTTTATCACTAGCTGAGTTCAGCGCTGTGGGATGGAGTGGATCCTTGTATTCATCTCCTCAAGTGGTCTTGCTGCCATCTGCTCCTGTCCAAGTGCTTCAGCCATGTTCCATCTCAGCGTTCAGCTGATGATGCTAATGATGCTAATCACTGTACCAGAAACTTCACTGAGTGAGGAGTCATGAGGAGTAAAGCAAAGCTGGGAGAGACTGGCACTCTGTATTTCCAGATGGTGGGAGCAGCCAGGGCTCATTTGCTGTGGGTAGGGTTTCTTTTTTAATAGAGGCCTGCGGACACAACCCTGGTTTCCAAAAGGACCTCAGTGGCCAGTCCACTGGTGCGTCTGCTTGGTGTAACCCTCCTGCTGCAATGGGGTGCTGCAACTTTGTTCTTTCTGGGTTTTGATGAATAAATATCCTTTTGGATATTCTGTTTTTCCACTATGATTCTGGACCATATAAGCTGTGTCTGGGTTTCCCTGTATTTGCTGAGCATATCAGTGAGGCAGCTATGGGATAGGACTGCAAATCTTAAGGTGTCCTAGGAAATGTAAGGTAGTATCCTTCTGGTAGCAACCATCAGAGAAGCACAAGGAAGGCAGGAAGGGACCAAGTTGTTTGACCCAGGCATGCCCTAAGACATCAGCTACTTCCTCTGCTGCCCAGGATCCTCTGAGTTCACAGATGTGTCTGCAGAACCTCGGTTTTCACTGAAAACAAAAGCTCCTCGTAGCTTTTTGGTAACTTCTGAGCATGGCCAGTGGCAGTCATAGGCTGTGTTGAATGCCTGTTGCTGAGGAAGACATAACCACGCGGGCGTGTATTACTGCAAGGGCTGGATGTGAACTTGTCTTGTGTTCATGCACCAAGTATTTAATTGAATGTAAAGGGGCATCATTGGCTTTAGTGACACGGTGACCTTCGAGAATGGTAGCAAAGCCTTATGTGTTGCTGCAGGCATGGAGGATTCTGGTGGATGCGGTTTGGTGGCAAAACATGCCAATGGGATGGGAAGGAGGAAAAATGTGTGGTTTAGGAGAGGGTGGGAAATCCCTCAGAGTAGCAGCTCCTGGCTTTCCAGCACGGGGAGCTGAGCTGGGCTGGGTTCAGCGCTGCTCCATCGGGAGCGTGTTCCTAATGATGCTGACCGCTCTGCGGAGTGCTCAGAGACCTCTTGATGAGCAGTGGCGTTACAATGGGTGACTGTGGTATGTCACTGCTCGGAGACATGATGCTCTTCACCTTGCCTCTCCGGTGGCTGTTCTCAGTGAGCTTCGCAGCGGGGACCCATCCTCTTCTGTCTGTCCCTATTTCTGACCCACTCTTCTGTTTCTCCTTTGCAGATATTATGCAGATATAGCTAAAATGCCAGCGATCAGTGACCAGGACATGAGCGCATACCTGGCGGAGCAGTCGCGGTTACACCTCAGCCAGTTCAACAGTATGAGCGCGCTGCACGAGATCTACTCCTACATCACCAAGTACAAGGACGAGGTAAGACGCGGCGATGGGGAGTCAAGCCTGGGCTGCGAGCTGTGTCCCTTTGCCTGCGTTTCTGCAGTCCCACACTTTTTCCTATAGAAAAACACCCTGTGAAATGCAGGAGAGCAACGTAGTCCATGTCTGTACTTGGGCTGGTGGGAAAGGAAAGGTTTGGGAGGCGTGTAGGCAGCGCTTTGTTCCCCATATTTTCTGCAGTGAGTAATGTGGGAAACACCTATTTTTCTACACATTTGGCACATGAGCTCCTCGGGGCTACAGAGTTAGCGGCATTATCTCAGTGCGCCTCTCTGCCACCACCGGCCCAGCGCTGCGGCAGTACCAACGCCGTGTGATTATACAGGCAGTGTCTGGCTCTGCTGCCCAGGGATGCTAGAGAATGTGGTGGCCTCTTCAGTGCTTGCTTTGTGAACATCAGTAAGAATGGTTAAAACTCCCTCTGTTGTAATTTATACAAATCAGCTTCGTAAAGCACTGCTCAAATCCACACCCCACATCTTTTTATTAAAGCAATAAAATATGTAACTACAGTAAAATATGGATCTATACATATAACATGATAGTATAGGTTTTATTGTCCCAATAAAGGGGATTGACAGCTGTGTTTGAACGATGGCTTATTTAGGTGACAGAATGCCAGAACATCTCTTTGCTCGGAGAGAGCCGGGAGAGCTGGCCTTTCGCCCCGCAGGGGGAGGAAACGGGGTCCCCGTCGTACCCTGCAGCAATCCCAAGAGGCATCTCCCAGCACCTCTTTGAGGTGTGAATTTAGGGAGTCCATGGGCAGGTCATAGCAGACCTGGCCCCTGGGTCTAAGGTCAGCACTGGGACCATGGTGGCCAAAATCCTTGTGGAGCTAGGTGCTTCGCAGGAGTGAGGAGGAGGAGGATGGCCTGGCTTGCCTACAGGGATGGGAGGAAACCCTGGTGCTTGGGAAGGTGCCACGTGGTGGTCACTGTGCAGCTGGTGGCCATGTACTGATGACCATGCTGGTGGGAGCTCTGTGCCACTCCCCAAATGAGTTGGGATGGCACATCCAGGAGGCCCCCATAGCTCTGTGTGATGAGTTGGCCGTGTAGGGTTCTTGGGGTTTTACAGTTTGTATAACAGCTCTGTGGCTACCACGAGAGTGGAAGAGGAGCAGTCTGAAGGATCTAGATCTGCTGTGGGGCAGCTACCATCCCTCAGCCATCATCAAGTGCTCGCTTCCTCCGGGCTAAAAGTCCCCCAGGCCTTAAATAAATCCTCCAAGCCCTGGGCGAGAGCAGGGAGCGGACCATGTGGCATTAATAAGCTGCTCTTCAGGGGCACAGGTCCTCTTCTTGCCCACTAATGGCAACCTGACATCTGTTGAGTGTCTTGGTGCCGCCCGCTCTCTGAGCATCGCAAGTGTGTTCACAGCTCTCAGGAACTTCTTTTATTATTTGTAATGGGATTAATAAATCGCAGCTGTTCCCTTTGTTTGTTTTCATTCATTAAGCACAATTATATGCAGCCCGATTGCACCCTCTTTGATGCAAAATGGGAGAGAATAATTTTTCCTGTTGTTCAGTGCAATAATATGCTGTCATCGGCTGTGAATGAAAATCATAATTAATTTTCATTTGGGTACTTGCATCTTGGTAATCAGTGGTCCTGGCTCCTTACAGCAGGTGACAAACCTGGGTCTCTCTCTGTGCTCGGCACAGGTTTCCTTTGACTGCATTGTTTCCATAAGGCTGAGGTAAAAGAGGAGCAAATAAATGCAGGGGCAGGTTGTGAATCTTTCGACACCTCAGCATCCCAGGATACACAGCTGTCTTACCGGGAGAGGTGGAGGAGGCGGGTGGGGGGAATAGGCTCCTCTTCCACTTCTTGGACCAAACTCATTTGGTTCCAGCTCAGCCACCTTTCAGGCATGCGGGGTTTTGATTTCTACATGAGTGTTATTATAGTTATTTCATTCCACGTGTAGCGTGACGGCTGACAGCGGCTGTGGAGATGGATGGCGGGCGAGTGTCCCCGGTGGCAGGTTTTATGGCAGAATCTATGAGCTCTCGCGAGTCCAGCCGCAGCCCAGGGTTGTTGCTGCCAGGGGAGGTAAATCAGATGTGCCCAGCTCTTGCTGGAGAATTTTCCCCTTCTCAGGAGCTGATGCCGGTGTCGAGATGCAGCTTTCCCCTTTCTTTTGGGAAGAGATTCTCCATCGGGCATCTCTTACTGCCCCAGCAGACAGGGACCAGCCTGGTCCTGTCCCAAAAAGCCTGGTGGAGAGCCAGAGCCTGTCGGTGTCCAGAGGCTGCTGCATGGCAGCATGGTGGATGCTGCACAGCACGCCCCGCACGCCGCTCCACAACCCGTCAGTGCTGCAGCAGCTTTTAATCAAAGGGAGCTGATTCCCCATTAAGAAGTTACCTGTAGGGCTCCTGATGGACTTTGCCTGCCTCCTAGTAAGTCTATTAATTATACAACAGTTTGTTTCCAATTATGTGGCCAATGAAATGGTTAATCAAGTCCCCTTGGACGGATGCCTTGATATTTAATTGCAAAAAATTTGCTCTCTCAACTAGCTCACCCGAGGAGATGAGATTTCTGTCAGGTTTGTTTTTTTAAATCAGCTTTTCTGCTCTGCTGGTATGATGTTAGTGAGACAAGACTCCTGGCTGCTGGGAGGGCAGCTGCCCCTGCGTTTTATGCTTCATTACTCCCTTCTCCCCACTCTGAGCCTCGTCCTCCACCCTCCCACTGCTGCCAGTCCTTCCCCGGCCCTGGGGGCATGGCTGCATCCAGCCAGGGACTGTCCCTCCACCCTGCGATCTGTCATCATGGCCAGGAGCTTGTTTAGAGAAAGGGGATTTCAAGGGAGGAAAGTAATCCTCGTATGTCTGTGGGTGCACCCCTTGCACAGGACTGAGTGCTTCCAGCGAGGCAGGCTTTGCTGGTACATATATCTGGTGTCCCCTTCCATCACCCCAGTGTCCCTCAGTTGTCTGCCTTGGGGAGAAACGAGTGGGGTTTTGCCACTGGCGGCAGCCAAAGCCTCATGGGTTTGGTCTTTCTGTGTTCGTGGAACCAGTTCATGGCTTGATCACAGTCTCTGAAACGCAGCCCCTGCCTCCCTAGGCCGTTGGAGTGTTGCTGGAGTCACGGACGTGGCGGGAAGATGTCATTGTCTTGGTTTTGGGGTTCGCCCTCCGTTTGACAATGGATGTTCATTTCCCCACGTGCAAGTTGGCTTCTTGTTAGTATCAAGCAGGTCCCTGGTGTTAACTGCAGCCCCTTGGGGGTCCCGGGAGGCTCTGCCTGTGGGGTGGCAGCACTCAGGGCAGTGTCTTCCACCTCGCGCCTCCTTTGGCCCTTTCCTAGCCCCGTTAGGGATGGGAACGAACCCATGCCGCTTCCCATGGGACCACATCCCTGTGCCCCGATGCCATTGATGAGCCAGCGCATCCACGTGGGCAATGAGGAGCTGATTTGGGTAGGAGGGCATCTCCTCACCCTCTCTTCTCCGCTCTCTCCCCCAGATTTTAGCTGCGTTGGAGAAGGATGAGCAGGCCCGGAGGCAGCGGCTGAGGAGTAAGCTGGAGCAGGCGATCGACACAATGGCCTTAAGCAGCTGAGAAGGCGGCGGCGCGGTGCCAGCATCCCGGGCAGCGGAGGCGGCAGGAGGGAGGGCCGGCCAGCGGCAGCCACGGGCAGAAGACGACTTTGGGGCTGGGGCCGGCTGGACCCGCGGG